TCCCATGTGGCTTGTTCTGCATTGTTACAATTTGTATTGCATATATATATATATATATATATATATATATATATATATATATTATATATATATATATATATATATACCTAGGTCAGACCTAGGTAATAGGTTGGTAGACAGCAACCACCCAGGGAGGTACTACCGTTCTTCCAAGTGAGTGTGAAAAGAAAACCTGTAATTGTTTTACATGATGGTAAGATTGCTGGTATCTTTTTTCTGTCTCATAAACACGCGGGAAAACAGGTCTATCTTGGTACTTCTACTGACACTTAGGTCACACTACACACACACACACACACACCACACACACACACACACACAGGTGCTATGTGTACCCCTAACAACAATATTCAACACATCCATCGAAACAGGGCGACTACCTGAGGTATGGAAGACAGCAAATGTAGTCCCAATTTTTAAAAAAGGAGACAGACAAGAAGCACTAAACTACAGACCAGTGTCACTGACGTGTATAGTATGCAAGGTTAGGGAGAAGATTATCAGGAGAAGAACGGTGGAACACCTAGAAAGGAATAAGCTTATCAAGAAGAGCCAACATCGTTTCAGGGACGGGAAATCCTGTGTCACAAACCTACTTGAGTTCTATGACAAGGTGACAGCAGTAAGATAGAAGTAAGCGCAAAAACTGGAGGACCAGGCAGGGATAACAGGGAAGGCACTACAATGGATCAAGGAATACCTGTCAGGAAGACAGTAGCGAGTCATGGTACGTGGCGAGGTGTTAGAGTGGGCGCTTGTGACGAGCGGGGTTCCACAGGGATCAGTCCTAGGACTGGTGCTGTTTCTGGTATTTGTGAACGACATGACTGAAGGAATAGACTCCGAAGTGTCCCTGTTTGCAGATGATGTCAAGTTGATGAGAAGAATTCAATTAGACGAGGACCAGGCAGAACTAGAGATGGATCTGGACAGGCTGCTGACTTGGTCCAGAAACTGGCTTCTGGAGTTCAACCCCACCAAGTACAAAGTCACGAAGATTGAGGAAGGGCAAAGAAGACCACAGACGGAGTACAGTCTAGGGGGTCAGAGACTACAAACCTCACTCAAGAAAAAAGATCTTGGGGTGAGTATAACACCAGGCGCGTCTCCTGAGGCGCACATCAACCAAATCACTGCTGCAGCATATGGGCGCCTAACAAACAGCGTTCCGACCCTGTACACTGTGTACGTTAGGCCCCTATTGGGGTATGCGGCACCAGTCTGGAACCCACACCTAGCCAAGCATGTAAAGAAACTAAAAGTGCAAAGGTTTGCAACAAGATTAGTCCCAGAGCTAAGGGGTATGTCCTACGAGGAGAGGTTAAGGGAAATCAATCTGATTACACTGGAGGACAGGAGAGATAGGGGGTACATGATAACGACATATAAAATGCTGAAAGGAATTGACAAGGTGGACAGAGAGAGAATGTTCCAGAGATGGGACACAGCAACAAGGGAACACAGTTGGAAGTTGAAGACTCAGATGAATCACAGGGATGTTAGGAAGTATTTCTTCAGTCACAGAGTTGTCAGGAAGTGGAATAGTTTGGGAAGTGATGTAGTGGAGGCAGGATCCATTCATAGCTTTAAGAAGAGGTATGATATAGCTCATGCAGCAGGGAGAGTGACCCAGTAGTGGCCTGTGAACAGGCGGGGCCAGGAGCTGTGACTCAACCCCTGCAACCACAACTAGATGAGTACTATATATATATATATATATATATATATATATATATATATATATATATATATTATATATAATATATATATATATATATATATATATATATATATATATATATATATATATATATATATATATATATATATATTATATATATATATATATATATATATATATATATATATATATATATATATATATATATATATATATATATATATAATATATTTATATATTTATAATATAAGAGAGTGGTGAAGCAATGTAAAAAGAGAGCAAATGAGAGAGTGGGTGAGATGTTATCAGCAAATTTTGTTGAAAATAAGAAAAAGTTTTGGAGTGAGATTAACAAGTTAAGGAAGCCTAGAGAACAAATGGATTTGTCAGTTAAAAATAGGAGAGGAGAGTTATTAAATGGAGAGTTAGAGGTATCGGGAAGATGGAGGGAATATTTTGAGGAATTGTTAAATGTTGATGAAGATAGGGAAGCTGTGATTTCGTGTATAGGGCAAGGAGGAATAACATCTTGTAGGAGTGAGGAAGAGCCAGTTGTGAGTGTGGGGGAAGTTCGTGAGGCAGTAGGTAAAATGAAAGGGGTAAGGCAGCCGGGATTGATGGGATAAAGATAGAAATGTTAAAAGCAGGTGGGGATATAGTTTTGGAGTGGTTGGTGCAATTATTTAATAAATGTATGGAAGAGGGTAAGGTACCTAGGGATTGGCAGAGAGCATGCATAGTTCCTTTGTATAAAGGCAAAGGGGACAAAAGAGAGTGCAAAAATTATAGGGGGATAAGTCTGTTGAGTATACCTGGTAAAGTGTATGGTAGAGTTATTATTGAAAGAATTAAGAGTAAGACGGAGAATAGGATAGCAGATGAACAAGGAGGCTTTAGGAAAGGTAGGGGATGTGTGGACCAGGTGTTTACAGTGAAACATATAAGTGAACAGTATTTAGATAAGGCTAAAGAGGTCTTTGTGGCATTTATGGATTTGGAAAAGGCGTATGACAGGGTAGATAGGGGGGCAATGTGGCAGATGTTGCAGGTGTATGGTGTAGGAGGTAGGTTACTGAAAGCAGTGAAGAGTTTTTACGAGGATAGTGAGGCTCAAGTTAGAGTATGTAGGAAAGAGGGAAATTATTTCCCAGTAAAAGTAGGCCTTAGACAAGGATGTGTGATGTCACCGTGGTTGTTTAATGTATTTATAGATGGGGTTGTAAGAGAAGTAAATGCGAGGGTCTTGGCAAGAGGCGTGGAGTTAAAAGATAAAGAATCACACATAAAGTGGGAGTTGTCACAGTTGCTCTTTGCTGATGACACTGTGCTCTTGGGAGATTCTGAAGAGAAGCTGCAGAGATTGGTGGATGAATTTGGTAGGGTGTGCAAAAGAAGAAAATTAAAAGTGAATACAGGAAAGAGTAAGGTAATGAGGATAACAAAAACATTAGGTGATGAAAGATTGGATATCAGATTGGAGGGAGAGAGTATGGAGGAGGTGAATGTATTCAGATATTTGGGAGTGGACGTGTCAGCGGGTGGGTCTAGGAAAGATGAGGTGAATCATAGAATTGATGAGGGGAAAAGGGTGAGTGGTGCACTTAGGAGTCTGTGGAGACAAAGAACTTTGTCCTTGGAGGCAAAGAGGGGAATGTATGAGAGTATAGTTTTACCAACGCTCTTATATGGGTGTGAAGCATGGGTGATGAATGTTGCAGCGAGGAGAAGGCTGGAGGCAGTGGAGATGTCATGTCTGAGGGCAATGTGTGGTGTGAATATAATGCAGAGAATTCGTAGTTTGGAAGTTAGGAGGAGGTGCGGGATTACCAAAACTGTTGTCCAGAGGGCTAAGGAAGGATTGTTGAGGTGGTTCGGACATGTAGAGAGAATGGAGCGAAACAGAGTGACTTCAAGAGTGTATCAGTCTGTAGTGGAAGGAAGGCAGGGTAGGGGTCGGCCTAGGAAAGGTTGGAGGGAGGGGGTAAAGGAGGTTTTGTGTGCGAGGGGCTTGGACTTCCAGCAGGCATGCGTGAGCGTGTTTGATAGGAGTGAATGGAGACAAATGGTTTTTAATACTTGACGTGCTGTTGGAGTGTGAGCAAAGTAACATTTATGAAGGGGTTCAGGGAAACCGGCAGGCCGGACTTGAGTCCTGGAGATGGGAAGTACAGTGCCTGCACTCTGAAGGAGGGGTGTTAATGTTGCAGTTTAAAAACTGTAGTGTAAAGCACCCTTCTGGCAAGACAGTGATGGAGTGAATGATGGTGAAAGTTTTTCTTTTTCGGGCCACCCTGCCTTGGTGGGAATCGGCCAGTGTGATAATAATATATATATATATATATATATATATATATATATATATATATATATATATATATATATATATATATATATATATATATATATATATATATATATATATATATATATATTATATAATATATATATATATATATATATATATATATATATATATATATATATATATATATATAATATATATATATATATATATATATATATAATATATATATATGCAATCGCTAACAAACGATACAAGATGGGGGGAGATGAATGATAGCTCTAGGCCTTTGACGCTACAATCGGCACATTATCATGGGCTTGCAGTTGCAGAAATGAGTAGGAAGTTCAAGCAGATTAGTTACCGGGGGGAAGGGGATTGGGACGGGATTGGACATTTATTGCGCCGTTATTTTTATATCTTGTTCAACTTCGGTTCTGATTCCCCTCGACTACAACAGTGGAGAAGAGGATTACGAGATGCTAGACCAAGTATGTGGCAGGGAATGGCTTGATTAAGGTCAAGCAGATGTCTCAGCTAGGAGGTTGGTGGACGAACAGAGTTATTGCTAATGAAAATTGTTTTTGAAAACGGACAATTTGAAGAATAAGACACTTGTGTGACATTTGGAATCTTTTCTGAGGAAACGTTTCACCAGTCAGTGGCTTCTCCTCTACATTGGCCTGAAGAAGCCACTGGCTGGCGAAATATTTCCTCAGATATTCCCAAATGTTTCCCAAATATTCCCAAATGTTGTACAAATGTCTCATTTTTCAGTTATTGCTGCTTGAGACGGTTTTGCAATTCGGCGTGATGGCGTCTCCTCAGGTGAGGATAATACCTCAACGATCTCTTTGGAGCTTTGGCTGAGTTTTCGGGAAGATATTTTCGCTCATATTGTGATTACAGAACAAGAAAAGAAGAAAAATATCTTGCTGGTGTCACTTGACTCCGAAACATTCAGTGTGTCGGATGATTTATATGCACCAGATTTACCTCAACAAGGAGTATGATGACCTGGTAGGCTCATTAAATGGTCATTACACTGTGAAGACACGTATCGCCACAATCTCTTGGCTTTTCAACAAAGAAAGAAGACAGGAAGAAGTGTCTTTGTATGGATTGTATACAGCGTTGAAGGTTTTTCCAAAACCACTGATTTTGGGACCTAGTTAGAGACTAGCTATTCACGGCTGTGGAGTGTGAAGTATATTTTTCTAACTCAGCGGCATAGAATCTAAACTTGAAGGTTTGTCATCGCCAAAGATTTTTGGAAGGATCTTGAACCTGGAAAAAATGTCTGAAAAACAACAGGTTCAGGAATTTAGAGCAGTGAATACAGGAAAAAAAAGTGTACATATAGGCTCACACGTAATGTGAATTTTTGTAATAAGAAGGTTAGTTAATTTAATATCTTTATTATGCACCCCATACCCATCCTGTGGGCGGTAGTCAAAAGATTACAAAGGTACATAATGGGTCCAGGGACTGGATCCCAAAGTTAATAAGAAGGGACTTGTGAAAATAGCGTGTGGAGAGACATCAAAATTATTTCGTAGTTCTAACAATAATGTTTTTGAGGTTAGTGATGAGAGAAAGAGGTCACTGGAAGAAAACAACAATGAAACAGGTTCACTAAGAAAATCTGTTCTGTAATGCTTACGAGTTGTTGGGGTATGTTGGGTAGTTGTAGGGGTAGTTGGGACTGTAGTCGTTGTAGTTGTCCTGGATGTGGTCCACCAGGGGAGTGAGAATGGGTGCCCTGGAGGAGCGAGCGTTCGTCCCGTCACCGTAGCGACTGTCAACACAAGAGTTAGTTTAGTAGTGTATCAACATGTACAATAGAATATAGTTGCAATTTGCAACCATATTCTATTGTATATAATTATTATATGGTGGGAACACTCGCAGTGTAAATACATATGATAGTTACATGGAAATAACATCGCGAGGTGTTGCTGCAATTCTATATAATAGTTACGTTGTGGGAACAAAAGCTGTGTTTTCTCTGTCAACAATGGTTTGATACACGAAGAAATGAAATAAACTGGATTTCTTCTCTTTAACACGTGATCTTCCGTTATAAAAACAAAATGTGGGTTTCCTTTCGTCTTTCAAAGTAGCTTCAGGGCTCCTCCCGCGGACAGATAATCGTAAAATAATCGTAAACTGCACCAATAAAACTCCGGGAAAAACATGGCGGCTGTCCCTCACTGCCACAACACTTCTTCGCACAAAAAAATTACAGAACGAGTTGTAGATAATTCAGATATGAACGCAGTTATGTGTACAAGAAACAAAATGCAGTTTATGGCATTTAATGAGAAAACTTTCGTCCACCAGAGATTGATAAAGTCTGTGGTGGGCGAAACCTCGTCTCAGTAAATGCAGTAAACTGTATAAGATAAGATAAGATTTCGTTCGGATTTTTAACCCCGGAGGGTTAGCCACCCAGGATAACCCAAGAAAGTCAGTGCGTCATCGAGGACTGTCTAACTTATTTCCATTGGGGTCCTTAATCTTGTCCCCCAGGATGCGACCCACACCAGTCGACTAACACCCAGGTACCTATTTGCTGCTAGGTGAACAGGACAACAGGTGTAAGGAAACGTGTCGAATGTTTCCACCCGCCGGGAATCGAACCCGGGCCCTCCGTGTGTGAAGCGGGAGCTTTAGCCACCAGGCCACCGGGCCTGGGAAACTTTGCTCCAGTTACTGTTTTTGTGCCTTTAACATCTAAGAGAAAAACTCTTAGAAATGACTGCGTTATGAAAAGCCTCGTAGTAAACATTCTGATAATTATTTCTACATTTTTAACCGGGGTTTGTTGGCCAGAGGGGGTTGTTCATTGTTATTTTCTTGCAAGTGAGTCGAGTCTAGAAGGACTGGGTCTGAAAAACAACTGTTTATAACACGGTCTTTATAAATTAACTTCTATGTTACTTATCATGTGTCATGAACACACAGGGATAAAACGTACATAACTGAACGTTTTAGCGATAAATTACCTGAGGCATGGAAGACTGGACAGCTGGTCACCGACACACACCGTTATCACCAGTCATTTAAGAACTGAGACCTGACTGGTGCTCCAGTCTTCCTGTCTCGTTGACGTTGATTTTCCGCTAAGCAACGATGTTGTTTTATTGTGTTAGTGGGTCATAGTGGCTACCACTTGGTCACACAATATTGATTTCATTACGTAATCAGTATTTGTGACCGGGTAAGAACGCTTAAGTGAATTTACACTGACAGGTATTCATCTCGTGGTGTATGTACGTATATACACCAAGATGTGTATATCTGTGGATATACAAAGAGAGATGTTTATCTTTTTATATACACGAAGAGGGGTGTATCTATATACTTATACACCGAGAGGTGCGTATTTCTCAGTGTATACCAAAAATGTGTATCTCCAGGCATATATACACCGAGAGGTGTCACCCAGTGTATATATTCTGAAAGGTATATATTATAAGAAAGGGTAGCTCTAATTTCTTGGATCGAGAACCCTTCAGTAGCATCTACTAATAGACTCCTGGTTTATGTGCTGCCAGCAGTAACAGTCTGGTTGATCAGACCCTGATCCACCACGAGGCCTCGTCTCAGACCGGGCCGCGGGGGCGTTGTCCCCCGAAACCCCCTCCAAGTATACTCTCCAGGTATACCCTCCCACCCCTCCTTTGAAATGGCTAATTACACCGCAACAGAGGCATATGACAGGGAGGGAAACAATCACGGCGTAGAAAATGCTCAGGGGACTCTACTCAATAAAGAGGGTAAATGTTATTTGAGATGCTATAAAATGAGGCAGAGGGCATGGCAGATCAAGATGAAAGCGAGGGTAAGAGTGATTGCTTTCGTCTCAAAAGCCAATGAATCTGGCCGTCAGTGGTTATGAGGGTGGGCCAGGAGCTATGACTCTCCTTTAAAAAAAAAAATCACCTGTGTGAGTACTCACGCAGCTTTAGAAATACGAGGCTGGAAATTAGCGAAAACAGCCATAATAGATCATGTGTGTGAATCAGACGTAGAGATTCAGGCCGTCCTTCCGAAAATATTACTTAGAGAATACACGTACAGCTTCATGAATGAGTGTGATAGAGCTTACAAGTCTGGGAATTAAAAAAAAATCATGTCATAAATACTTGGTAAGTTGTACCAGGAGCAGAGACTCGTCCCCCGCAAGCAATACTAGTTGCCAACACATTAAAGAAGACATAACGTCACGAACATAACTAGTCAGGTGACACTAAAAGGTAATTGCAAACAGTCACACACACATAAACAAGAATAAAAACATGATATACACACAACTCCGAAATAATGAAGTGGTCAGGTTGACAAACATGATGCGTGGTGTTAATGTTACCTGTGTTACCCGAGACACAACCATGACTGAGATATAGCACTACCGTTTTTATTTTTAATTTGCTTGTATTTGGTTAAATGTGTTTATATATTTGCTTATGTAATCTATCTTACCCTAACCTAAAATATAATAACGCTATTATTTTTCTGCACACAGGGAGCTTTCTGAATTTGACTCTGAGAATAATGTAAAGGAACTATCGGTGTAGAATGAAGACAAGTGGACGGCGAACACTCGACGTCTTGTCTGGGGGTAATAGTGCCACTGACAGGTTATACCGAGCCTTACGGCTACGCTAGCAGATGCCTTTATAAATGATTCATGCTGCGTGCATCCTCCTAGGTGCTAGCGGAGGCTCCGGTATACACCGGTGACCTACATAGTGATGTGTACACCCACGATCACGAACTGTCTCTTGCGTGTTTCTAGTTATGGCTCACGTGAGACTTTGCTTCTGTGGACAAAGAAGAGGAGCTTTATGCCATCGTCTCCAGACTACGAAGAAGCATAAGAATTTGGTATAAAGCTGCCCAGTTATACTCTAGGAACAACCAAACAATCTCTTGAATAATGGAAAAATAAGTATGATGCATTATATCACTGTAAAAATACTTAATAAAGCTGAATGAAAAAGATCCCAGAACTAAAGCAATTCGAATGCAAGGATGACTGAAGGCTTCAGAACAGACATCTCTTGACGTGAGGCATGTCTTCAGTGTCAAGATGTTTACTATAACACATTAGTACAGTGTGGTAAGGTTATTCTCTAAGGACCGAGGACGACGCCAGGTCATACTCTACGAGGTGACCCTCTACCCTTCTTCTACCGCTATTAACACGTTGAATCCATTATTACGATTGTCACTGGTACTCTAACCTTATGTTCGTCACTGGCAGGATTAGTTTCTCTGCAAGACCGGTGAGTGTGAGATATTATTATGTTTACATATATTTCGTCATTAGTCTTTGTATATTTTTTATATATATATTATATATATATATATATATATATTATATATATATATATAAATATATATATAATATATACCTCATTTATTCTCTCTGTTGACGAGCCTTTTGCGCTATTCCTTTCATGCCTAACTTCTTTATCTGCGTTCCACTCTACACTCTCTCTCTCTCTCTCTCTCTCTCTCTCTCTCTCTCTCTCTCTCTCTCTCTCTCTCTCTCTCTCTCTCTCTCTCTCTCTCTCTCTCTCTCTCTCTTCTCTTTCTCTCTCTAGCTCTCTCTTTCTCTCCAGCTAAGCCAGTAGTAATACCCGGATCTCGTGTACTATTACAATATACAGCTGAGATAATCGGTGTTGCATGTTTGGTGGTAAAAAGACCATAACAGCGAGGCGGAGGTGGGAGGGAGGAAGAGAGAGAGAGAGAGAGAGAGAGAGAGAGAGAGAGAGAGAGAGAGAGAGAGAGAGAAACAGACAGAGAGACAGTCAGACAGAGGAGAGGAGAGTTGGTGATTTGTTTGTGGAGTTGTAAACAATACATCAGATAAAACTACATTACATAATGACCAGTTCAAAACTGAGGAAATTCTAACACTCTCATTACTATAACTAGTGTTTGCACCAAGACTCGTGGATGCGACTACATAAGACAGTAACACACTGACACTAACAAGAGAGTCGGACATGTCTGTGTAATACATTACGATTTTGAGAGAAAATGAACAGTGTTAACAGTAGTTAAGTAGTGGGAACTACCCTGCCAGGCACGCTGATTGGTGGGTTTCAGAGGTTAGCAATTAGGTAATATATGCCGGAATCTCCCTTGATATATTAAATAGAAGAAATTTGGTTATACTCACAGGACGTATACACCGTGAGGTGTTGTTTCTCAGTATATTTGAGAGTTTACCTTTATTCCTTCTTAAAGTATTTATATATTAATGACTGGTAATGAAGGGGTTACATGCAGGCTTAACGATCCATGTGTAGTTGATAGGCTTTCAGGCCCATTAACTAAGCTGGGCATGTCTTACCAGTATACAGAGAGGAGGAGACACGTTCACACTTCAGAGCAACACACAGTGGACAAATGTGAGGAAATTGAGTTGTTGCTGCAACCGTGACACCTTTGACAAACAGTGCCTAGTAGACTACTAGTGCAGCCTATTGAAAATGTAAGTTAAGCAAAAAAAAGTTTCGAATTCAGTCTCTTGACTTCAATCTGCTGACTTCTGTCTCCTGTCTTGAGTTTACTGACTTAATCCATCTACTGCAGTCTATCCCTAAGAAGGTCACTAGAATCCCTCCCTACCAAGGTCACTCCATTCCTTACCAAGGTCATTCCAATCCTTACCAAGGTCATTCCAATCCTTACCAAGGTCACACCAGTTCCCCCTTGCCAAGGTCACTACTTTCTTTGACAAGGTAACTACACCCCCTACCAAGGTCGCAGTACATA